ACTTGTTGTAATTAAAGAGAGAAGATGAATGACTGAAGTACAAGAGCATTGTAGGACTTTAAAAATGAACATGTCCTTGACTACATCTCCTGTGCATTTATGTAATGATGATCCCACATTAATATGACCAAACAGATAAAAGCAGAAAATAATAAGAGCTTGGTTGCATTATTTTTCTTCCAACCCAATAATAATATATCACCAGCCAGAGGAATGTGCCTGTGAATACCAAGCAGGAGCAACCATGTGCTGCTGAGTGCAGGACCCCATCGCCTCCCACTGCGAGATGCAAGGAAAGGCAATATCCGCTCACGGATCTCACAGCAATGTGGCAGATAAATGAGTTACAAATGTCTATAAAATTCACAAACTTGCATCAGAAGTGGACTTAAAGGTTCAGCAAGTGTTTGGAGAGGTGACTGCAACACTGGCAACTTCCTTTATGAGCATTTATTTTCTCAGCTTTTGGAAATAAGACCCATCTGATCCTAGTGGAGAGAGGTAGAAGGGTTGCTGCAAAGTAATAAGTATCAACAAAAAAATCTGTAAGACCTGTAAACAGCTTTTTGTCTTCTAAATAAACTATATGCCTTGATGTACCTATGTCATACCTTGGTAATTCACTTCCCATTTCATAGCTCAAATGTATATAAATATGTGCCCAAAGGGGGAAGAGGAGGTGATGAGAGAGTTTGAGCTAGCTTTACTTCATTCTTCATGCAGCACTAAGTCCCTGGACCATGCCTGCCCCAGGCTGCAGGAGCAGCAGCCTTACACTCCTCAAGGTATCCTCCAGGCTGACCAGAGAGGCTGCAGCCTGCCAGGAAGACCTCTTCACTGTCTTGCTCCCCTCCCTTTCCTGGCACGGCATCTGATGGCCTCCAGCTCAACTGTGATATTGCCAGACTACAAAACTTTGTCACCTCGTAAAAATTTATAGTGCAGGTAGTTTATACCATTACACCTCTTGAACTAAACACTCAGCCAATTCATGGTTCCCTCTGGTGTGAGGAAAACCAGATTTCTTGGATCAGGTGTTGCGTTTGTGCAGCCGTGATGGTTTACAACACTGCCGAGAGCCTGTTACAGAGCCCTGAGCACAGAAGGTGGCAATACACCAGCTAGTTCTCTGCTGAGAGCCAAACTGTCATATCAGCCAGGATCTCACCAGGGCATGCCATTGCCTCCGATTTTCCTCCAGGCCAGAGTATGTCTTGCCTGGGAGGTGCTGCTCTGTCTTGGGACACACACCCCAGCAAGGCACAGCCCCGAGGGAAGCTCTGGCTTAGAAGCTCCTGAGAGCTGAACAGGTGGGACTGAGAAGTCACTACTCAGGTCTTCTCAGACCCTACAAGGGTCTGATGCCATAAAAAAAAAAATCAGAAGTACATTATACTTCCGAGGTTATGGGGGAAGTGTTAAAACTCGTTCTTCCCTGAAAAAAAAACCAAACCAAATCAACAAACAAAAACAACAAAACCCCCACAAACAACCAAGAAAACAAGAAAACCAACAAAGTTTTGTGTGGTACTCTTTGTAAGAAAGAAAACATTTCCACTAATAGAAAAGAGCTAAAGTAGAAACTAATCCCACTTGCTGTGAATTTGCAGCATTTAGAAAACAATCACTGCTGTCATTCCCGCTGCTTTGCTCAGTGTCAGTGACAGTGACCACCTCTCCTGCACTTCGAACTCCCATGGGCCTCCTGGGACTTGGGCCAGAAACACATTTGGAGGACCTCAGGAGAGCTGGGATTGTATAAAAATGCTTCACCATATTGTGTTGTGAGTAATTCTTGTGACAAGAAAAAGGCTTTTGACAGTTAAATTCATCACGTAGGAGTTACGTCATCATGGGAGAAATATGTCATTAAGGGAGGTAGGGAGTTTTCAGAGTAGATTCTTCTTTAAAAAATTTATTTTTTAACAAAGAATATTCAAAGTCCCATGGCCCATCCCCACAGAAGCAAGGAACTTGCACGTCTGCTTGTGCCTGTGGCTTTTCTGCCCTTCTTCATTAGTATTTTCCCTGGCTTCTCTCTGCCTCGCTGGCGCTTTTGCCACTCCTTCAGAAACACAGAAAACATCACAAAATAATGGCCAGCAACATGTCAGCACCCACAAGTGTCCTGGCAGCTGTTATTTCAACTTTCTGGTTTCTTAAAAATATTAATTTTCTCAGAACTGTTTGACAGTGGTGTTCCTGTTCAACTCGTTAGGAAAAATAAAAAGCTCTGATACATTGGGACCTGCCACTTTCATCTCACCTCATTATTCCTTCTTTTTCCAATCTCTTTAAAAGGGTGGGCTTAGCAAGCCTGCACCAGCTACAGCCTTAAGATGGCTCATGTAGGGTGGTGGTTTGGCAATTCATGAGTGGCACATCAAAAGACAGGAAGAGTTTTCCCTTTTCTTTTCCATGCCTCCTTTTCTTGGCTTTGCTTGAGTGAAGGAGGAACAGGACTGAACTTTCTCTGCTGAAGCTGAAGTCTGGCACCTAAAACTGACTTCTTCACCCTGAATAAGGGTATTTTCACCTAAGCAGTCTTTGCAAGCAGAATGAACAGATAAAGTTTTCTAAGTGACTCAAAAGCAACACAATACAATGCAAGCAAAGAAGAGCGAGTTGGGTGTTTAAACATACTGAGACTTGTATGGTCCCTGTCCTATTCATTGATTTTGTCCCTTTCTGTTCCCACTTCCTTTAATCCTGACATTTACTTTCCTAAAGACGTTTAACAAAGATGCCACAAACTCACTGCTTAGTACACAGCTATGCTAACAAAATCCCTTAAGCCTGTGAGTAGCTCTAGTGGAATAGAAGAATTGTCAAAATTACTGCAGTGTTACTATGGAATAAGCTATTGCACCAAAATAGTCTTATATTGGTATGGTTACTTCCACAGGTTTTCTAAATAGCAACAATGACTTTAAGAAAAAGATAATTCAAATAACAAAAACCCCTCCAAACCCCTGGGTCCGTTGGAAAAACATCTGTTTAGCCACAGGCCCCAGCAACCTCCAACAAAAGTTACAGTTATTTATGTGGCACTGGAAAAACAAACAGCAACATGAACTCCTTGCAGAGTTATCATAATATCCTCTCCTGAGGTACTCCGTACTTCATGCTGCAGGCAGAGAAACTAGACAGATTAAACAGTAAGATCATGTTACAATTTGTTACATTCAGTATCTTTATTTCACTTCTGAGATTGTTATAAAAACAATATAACATTCATCCTGTCATTTACAAAGACATCCTTCCCACAGTCACTCTGCACAATCTTTTCAAGAAGTAAACCAGAAGCTTTGCACTCATGTCACAAAAATATTTTGAAAAAAGATACAATTTTGTATTTTACAACGTTTAATCTGAAGCATGGAGTAAACTGGCAACAACATTTCATTCTAGAAACACAGTTAAAAATAAAGCAAGTAGTCTACCTCAGAAACTGCACGTTAAACATGCAGGGCCCTGTTGCTCTTCAGAAAATAAACCTCCACCGAGCTGTCTTTGCAGACTGACTGTGGAGCCCCCTCTGCTCAAAGTCCTTGCTACTGTCAGCATTTCTGCTCTAGATGCACAGATGGGAATGGGAAGTGCCAGATCACTGCTCACACATGGGCACTGAAGTGCCCCACAGCCCACGGCCGGATTGCAGGAGGTGATTACTGCATCAGTTTGCACAAGCACACAGTGGTTCTCCTTGAAGGGGTACCCAGTCTTTGCCTATTCAGGGGCTTCTTTGTTGTTAGTGAAGGGTGAATTTTTTCAGGAAGATTTGACAGGAAACTTACACTGGACCCTGATTACACAAAATGAAGCAGATTCCCGAGGCAAACCCATACCATTATCTCCATCGGGCCAGGCTGTATTTTCCCTAGCCCGTCATTATGCAATTCACTGGCTGAGAGCTGCACACCGCTGTGTGCAGGCAGCACCGCAGGCAGGATGCTTAGGAGAAGGCTTTGGCAACTGCTGTGCCCAGCTCAAGCCGGTCACTGCTCTGCAGCGATATCTAAAAACTGTTCTGAAGGCAATTGTGCCAAAGGCTGCGTTAGTTCCACAGGTCACGGCACCATGAGATGATATGATCATACAGCAACAAATCCCAATTTACCTAAAAATTAGATATCCAGCTGGTGCCATCTGCCTGTCGGTGGTTACATATCACCCATATCACTCTTCCTCTATGGGAAGAGCCTGCCGGGTCTCCTCCGTGCTGGGGCTGCTGTTTCACACACTGTGCTGTGTCTGGGCCATTCCACAGCACGCGGCAGCAACGGGATGGATGGTAACTGCTAGTGAAGCAGCAGGACAGACCAGTGCACACACTAGCACGACACCTGCACTCTTCCAGATTTGCCCTGCCCAGGCCCTTTGAGCCCCCTCAAACTCAGAGGAGGCATGTATGCCCGGCTTCTCAGAAAGATCAGGCCCAGACTCATCTTGTTTTACCATCAGCAAAATATATAACGTACATACTCACACACACGTAACACACAAGTTGGGCATGACCTGGGTACAGCTTGTGTTAAATGAATATCACATTTTGTTACATACTGCAAAGGCATCTGACTGCTGGTGTAATGTACTGCAAGGTGATTCATGGCCATGCCACGGAAAAAGCCATTTGGTGTTTCATATATTTAGGGAGAGCTATTTCTTCTCCACAGTGCATCAGGCACCAACGAATAAATATACAGCAGTTTGAAATGTTCTCTTCTTCAGCAAGTCCTATCAGTCTATAAATAATTTTTATACATTTTTTAATACTTCATCACTTACACTGAATTTTTCACCTTAATCTCAATACCAAAATATACATTAATGCAAAGAGATTTTAAGACTAGATCTAGAGGACAAATATATTAATCATTATAATAAGAAACTAATTCTTTTCTTTTTCTAAACATTAGTTAAGAAAAATATAATCTTAAATTACAAATTTAAATAATATTTCATATGTAAGTTTTAATTTACAGCATAGAATCATAGAGTTTTCAGATTAAAAGGAACTCTGGGAGGTCATTTAGTCATCTTCTAGTAATCTAGTAGATAAACATCACATTTAATACAGCATAATCAGCTTTAGTAGATAAATAATTCTTAATTAACACAGAGCACATTTCCTTTAAAATATTCTTTCCAGTGAGTGACATCATTCACATAGCAATAAAAATGCAATTATAGCTGAAGGTGATGCAGGCCTAGAGTTAAGAGAGCGGAGAAAAATGACCACACTGCTTTATACTGAGGACCCTCCTAATGTAGCAATTCACAAGGCAGGCAAAATAACATGGCACTTTTTCCCATTCTCTCTCTATTTCTACTAATAAAAAATGATGCTAATATTTTGATATTTTATCTTGCTATGAGAAAAACAAGAGGCCCTCAGACATTCAGTAATACTTTGGGATAAAATGCTGCCAGGGCCAGTTGCTCAAAGGAGAACCTCCAGTCAACCTGTAAGAGGCTTGGACCAACAGCTCCACAGACTCAGACCCTGGCAAAAGCAGCAATAAAGTGCTGGACTATTACACCAAAACACTGGGATTTAAAGTCTCTACGCTCGACGCAAATGGCATGCAGAGCCCATCCTACTAAGTTACCACAAGTTTACAGCAGGTAAGTACAGCTGAGTAGCAGCAGAGTGGTAGCTGTGTGCAACTTGCTCTGAGAAGAGGAGAAATGGGGTGGCCCAGGCCTGCCATGTCCCTGGGTACAGGGCAACAGGGCATAGAGTCAGTCACGCAGCTTTCTGCCAAATGAAAGACATCCCAGTTCCTGCTCTTTGCCTTTTTTTCTTTTTCCTGAGCAAATCAAAGAGAAGCCCTTCCCATCTCTTCCCAGCAAGATTACATGACCTCTGCAATCCCCAGACATACCCCTGCTTCTTTTCCCCCTGAGAAAGACACAGTTCCTTTAGCTGAAGTTCCCCAATGGCATCCTGAAGTCAGATGCAGTCTCAGTAGTAGTTAACTGATTTACCCAGAGCTCCCAGCAGCACAGACTCAGTTCCCTCTGCTCCTCTCCTTGCATCTGCTTTAGGAAAGGAGGTCTTCTTTGTGCAATTCTCCCCACCTTTCTTCTCAGTCACAAACCCTGCTCCAGTCAGGTTCTGGTTCTGATTAAGCATCATCAGCATTAAACCCTAATTTGGAAAAGTAAGCCATTCTGTTTCACCCCTGTCTTCTCTGGGAGAATTTGACATTCAGATTCTTCCATCACTCCATGTTTTCAAAACATACTTAAACCTGTCCAACTCAGCAAGGCAAAACCAAGAAGGGGAAAACATCTGCTCAACAAAAGGTTCCAGGGAAAGCTGTGATACTACTCCAACCACAGGAATTAAGGACTGGTCATAAACCAAATGTACTAAACCAGAGAAAATTATTTCTGGAACCCATATGCTAGTAATCTTTTCTCAATGTCTATGTCCTGCAGTATCAGGCAATGTAAATGCTGAAGCAATCACAGCATTGTGCACTCATTTCAGATTTCCCAAGAGGATGCAAGAAAAAGGACAGTAAGTGATGTGTTCAAAGGGGCAGCTCTATTTATACCTTCTTTCTATCCTCTTGGAGTAGTAAGTAATGAAGAATATAGTAACAATAAAAGCAACAAATATGAAAGAGATAAAGGCTAACAATGACTTTCTGGTTCGGAAGAAGTGGCATTCAGGACATGAGACAACCTCTTCTGGACACAGCAACTCAGGAGTTTTAGGACCAGGAAAACCATTATTGTCAATTATTTCTCTGTAATGTCTCATAGAAGGCTTTGGTTCATATTGATTTGCAATGTAACTGTAGAGACCATATTTAGGAGCAGTCTTGTCATTAAAAGAATAGACAAAATATCCTTGCAGGTTAACATTATCCAAGGCGTAAGCTGCAAAAGAAAACAAAGGGTTGAAGCAATGAATCGATGTCACTTTGGCATTCAAGAGCAGTACCATATGCCCATACATAAAGGAGGGGCAGGAGGATGTTAAACCCACATCTGCACTTCTCCTTTCCAAAACAAGATAAGGTACATCTGTGAAGTGTTTCTCATAAAAAGTAAGAATCTGCCAGACATTGCCAGACAGTGTGATCTGCAAGTATCCTGCAATTTATTTCCCTGTGCTTGGTAAACACAGCTGTGAGTGCCTGACTGTGTTTAATGATCAGCACAGAGCCTATCATGAAAAGATGGCTCTTTGTTATGCATAAAAAAATACAAGTTTGGAGTTTCCTGCACCTACACTTCTGCAGCCTCTGTCTCTGACTGCTCCTTCTCCCTTTGCAGGGCACCTCCTGATGGGGACAGCAGTCAAGGAACTGAGGATGTCAGGCTGCATGTCTCACTAGCAAAGGCACAATGACACCAGAAAAGGTGTGCACCCATGCTGAGGTCATGTACTGAGATATCACCAGTGCAAGTGGAAAGGTTATCCAAATCACAGCCCTCTCTTGTTATTGACCAAAAGTTTCTGATCCAAGATGACCTGTATTAGTCTTTATTGAGAACACGTCCACAATCCATACTGCTAACTCAGCTACTGGAAGAGGTCCAGCATCTGGAGTGTTAACCTTGAGCCATCCATCCCACTTGACAAAAATAATCAATCCAAGGTAGTAAACACAAACTGTAACACTTTATCTCTCAAATCAGTGTTTTAACAAATTAAAGGAATGTCTTCTAGCAGATGAACACTGGACTGAAACCTAACAATTGATGAATTTTCATACAGCTCTGGAAATAATTTTCTGCAACCCCATGCAAGATATTTAGCATGTCTAATGTACTTTCACATCTAAAATGAAATAATATTTACCTGCCCTTTTACAGAGCTGCTACCCGGGATAATTAGTTTGTGTTTGCAGACCTGCAGGTGGATTTAATGGTGTTACATAAATGGTTACTGCTGGTTTTTGTTTTCAATTGGCAAAGATTAACTTAAACAGGGTACAAAGCACTTCAAAATACAGCCTCAGTCTAAAGGGTCCTGTACTGCACTCTGGAATCATTTATCTGCACAAACCTTTTGGCTCCCCTGCAACAATGCAGGTGAGCAATATTACACATAGAAGTGTTTCCACATGCAGTCCCTGAAACTAGCTGGAGAAAGAAAGCAGAAAGAGGACTTTAAGAGAAGAGCATACATGTACCAAATCCCCTATTATTCCTCTACAGTGTGACACTGAGGTAAGGACACAAGATTTGTAATTCACCTTAGTTACTGCAGAGGGTCTTGTAGAAAAAAAAATGCAAGTCTTGGAGAAACCTGAATCAGTCATGATGCCAAGGTTATGCAGTGACAAGATGGACAAAAGCACAATGCCAGAGCTGACAGACCAAACACTGTGGAGGAGTGTATGGTGTCCAAAGTGGGTGAGTGATGGCTAGTTAGCAGGGATATATTTATCCATGACAAAGAAGGTAAAAAGATAGGAATACAGGCTCGCATGATGCTCAGGCAGAAAAACATAGGAGCTATTTACAGTCTGGACAGAAGAGCGGAGAAAGAAGTGATTGGGGGATATTCTACCAGAACAGTACAAATGGCAAAGTTCTGCAAGAACTAGGGGGATGGGCAGGTGTTCTTGATAATGGGAACTGGGAGAAAAGCCCATATCCATAGACACTTTGAAAACAAAAGTTCCAAGAACTAGTATGGTCTAAAGTAGTAGAAAGGAGATAAGAAATACAGAAGAAACAGTTTGATACCACAAGCCCAAATATAGCCAAGATATGTTCTAACTATAGCTGTACAAAATATGCAGCCAGTGCTACAAAATGCTGGAGAATGAACTTTTGAGCACTTAATATTAAGTTCAGTAATTTGTGAAAGAGATGGAAATTACAGAGGATGAAGTTAAAACCAATACTTAATGGAGCGGACAGGATGACCTAGCAAATTATAGAACTGCCAGACATCCTTCACTACCTATCAAAAGAGTGGAACAGATTATATAAGGCTTGATAAATAAGAATTACAGGAGATAATACATGATTAATGTCAATGAGCTTTACCTTATGAAAATAAATCTTGTCAGACTAACTTGACATCTTTTTTTATGAGATCAGCAGATCAATAAAGTAATGATGTTTGAAGTCATATACTTAGAACTTCACAAGGCAACTGACTTGGTATTATATGGCATTTAGATCAAGAAAACAGAATGTTTTGAGGTCAAGGGGAGCCCATAATAAACAGATTTCAACTGGTCGTAGAACTAATAAGTCAGTCTAGAACTGTAATTGGAGGTAAGTAAGTGCCACAGTAGGCATATTTCTACCATGATCATGGAGATTGGCTCTTAGCACTAAGTTATTTAATGATCTTAAATATATCAGCAACCTGAAATAAATGTAAAACTATTTCTCATAAAGTTTGCAAATAACACAAAGATTAGAGACATAATTCAGCAAGCCTTGCAAGGTCTGCACAAGCAAGCAGCTGGCATTTGAAATGACCAAATGTGAAGATGTCAAAGAACAAGTAGGCCTACTTTGGCAGAGGCAGTTCTGCTTGGTGGGGGTGGGGGCAGAAATCTGTCACCGAGTTTAAAATCTCAGTAATCACCTAAGAGTGTGTGTAACCAACCTGCTGTCATGGTTCAAAGGGTTAACGACCTGCTTGGATGTAGGAAAGGGGAGGGTAAGAGGTTACATTACACCTGCCTAAGATATAAATGTGGCTGTGGCAGGAACAGTGTGTCCAGGTCTGGGTTTACCCCTCTCATAAGGAATACTAGCACACAGGGAAAAGCTTAATAATTCACAGGTTTCAAACGATGTTTTATAGCAAGGGACACAAAGAGCTTTGTCTGTATTATCTATTCGAAGAGATAAATGGGAGATAGCTTGTCTTCTGTCTGTGAATACCTACAAAAGTAAAATACGTGTGGAAATGCACAACAAACATTGCTTAAAGATGAAGCTAAAGAAATTAATACTAGAAGTGAGATTTATCTATATCTATAAACACACTGCAACAGCTTACAGTGAGGTGCAGAAGATTCTTCATCAGTAAAAATTATCTCATTCGGTCTTGTGCTTTTCGGAAAAAACAGCATGTGTTGTATGACAGGATGACTCAAAATGCCTCCTTTTTGCCTTATAATTTACAAATCTTTGAGACAGAGAAAAAGACTGGTTTGTGTTCTGAATAGCAGGAAACAGTCCAGGAAATGGCATAATGAGGTAGACAGCTGAATTATTATGAAGATTACTGCTGGATAAGATCACCGTTGGATAAGATACAGAGACAGCTGAGGAACAGAACTCATACCCAGCCCTGAGGCACATCAGTGGAGAGAGAAGCAACAAAGCAAAGCAACAGTAGAAGTGCAATAAGATGAAATACTGACTAAATACATGTGGAGCTACTCACATAACATCTATTTTAATTTACTGAATCCATAAAAAAGGTCTTCTGCTGCCTTATGCAGAACATGAGCAAGGTCAGTCTTCCTTATGTTTAGTAACACCAATCAACCATAAATCAAGTGGAAAACTATTGTTATGCTATAGTAACACCTTATTTATAAAGTATTCTACAGAAGACTTTTTAAGTTAAACATCCTCTATCACACCATGTATACTAATATAATAGTGGGATTTGTGACTTATAAACCGTCTATGGTTCCTTACCTTTTAAAGCTTCATTGATGTAATTCTGTATGTAATACACTCGGAGCTTATCGTGCACTATGTTTTGGTCATCGTCAATTCCATTAGCCATAACATAAATTGGGATATCACCATACTTTGATTTAACCCACGTGAGCAATTTACGCAGTCCCCAGGGCACTACTGCAGCTCTGCTGGGAGAGTGGAGCCATGTGATGTCATTGATCATTTGAACTTCAAGGTAGTGGTCGTATTTTACTGCATCTTCTTTCTCCGAGCCCACAAGGGTAGTAGTGTAGTGACTCAAGGCAAAGAAATCAAATGAGCCCTGTATTAACTTCTTTTCATCTTCTGAGAAATAAGGTAAGTGGAAATTATACAGGTCAACACTGTTTATTCGGTGAAGCCATGCTCTCATTACCTCTGGGTAGTCACCATTCCCAAAGATGGGCTCTGCAAGCCAGCCAATGTCGAACTCTAAAATTCTGTCAGCAACTTCTTGGTCATTCCTGGAAAAGGGACAAGCTGGTTCCACCCAGTCAGCTTGCAAAGCTATAGATATTTTACCCTTCTGAGATCTCCTGAATTCTTTGTCATAAAGATGCCATACTTGCGCATGGGCTTTCAACAGGTTGTGCCCTGCCATGTATGTCAAGTTTTTCACAGACGGTTCATTCATGGTGATCCAAAATTTGACACGGTCCCCAAGACTTGTAAAGCAGAATCTGGCATACTCAACAAAAGCCCGAACAGTTTCTGTGTTTTCCCAAGCTCCATATTTGGCAAGGGAAACTGGAAGCTCTTGATTCTCAATCATAGGTTGCCATAAAGCAACAACAGGAGTAATGTTAACTCTGAGAAGTTCACTAGCAAAACACTGATAATAATGTACAAGTGTATGGTTGATTAGAGAAAGGTTACCTAAAGGAAGGATTAAAGACCATTTCAGTGAAAAATGGAAGTGTGTGACATGCATTTCTTGCAGAAGAGAGATCTGGAGCCTGATAGCAGCAAAGTCAACACAGTGATGCCTGCGTTTCGAGGTGTAAACTCCATCCACCTTAATAAGCTTCTTCGTCTGGTGAACATCCCACACATAAACACTAGAGTCAAGAAACTGGGCGGGTGTCGTGTCTACCTAGGTAGAATAAGAAACATACCAGATTCAGGTTGTTTGAACTAGGTAGATGAGAACATCATAGTCATCAGGCACAACAAGTAAAAGAAAACGGTGAGTCAAAACATTGTATTTAGAATCTCTGATACTGGCATATGAATGGGCTTGTATGAATGAATTAATTTTCTGTTAGCATGTGAGGTCAGCAAATTACCAAATCTATATATCATTTTCACCCTACTTTTCAAACAAGCTTATTCTAATGGTCACCATGTTCATATCTTCTCCAAGTTGTTCCAGTTTGCATAAGAAACAAGTGATTGCTCAGGGATAAGGCACTAAGTCTGTGACAGATCTCCAGAGAAGCAGACCTTCAGTTAAGACCACAGTAATTTTTAAAATGTTTTTCTTTCAAGATTAAGAAGGGCCTACAGAGAGACTATCTGTTGTAAATTATCCAGTACATTCAGTTTCAAGATAACTCCCTGAATGCAGTAAAAGAATGAATGCAACACCATTTCTCTGTTCTGTTCTTTTCCTGACTATGATGAAAGATGAGTAATGCTGTGCACTTGATTTTAGCACAAATTCAGTTGACAAGCAAAGTTTTTCCTTCTTGCTAAAAACATCCTTTTTTATTTAACTCATACTGAACTCATTTCCCAGTTATTTCAGCAGGCTGTTGGTGATTGAATCAATTTTGTTTTGGGCCTCTGAGAAAACCCATTCTATGTCACTCCAACAAAAAATGCATTTTCCATAAGGCTTTAGAGTTTTCAGTGTCAGAACTGCCTGTATGATACATTAATACAGTAGAAGATGAACTTCTCAAGGTCACTCAGAATTATACTTTCACTTTTTAATGAACATCACCAACACAGTAAGGACTAGAAAACAAGAAGTTTAATTACTTAAAATAACATGCAGCATAAAATCTGCTCAGTCTTATTTCAGGTAACTCTTTCTAGAGCCAAACCACAGGACACTGGTACCACATGCCTTTATTTGCCCCTTTCTCCTTCTTTTCAACCTTTGGTGTGTGGTCCCCTCTGAGTCCAGATTTCCTTTTCCTGCCCTCTGTCTGAAAAGCAGGTGTCAGCCTACAACCAGTGTTCAACTTGTAGCTGAGGCTCTGCAAACTGTGTAAAGAAGCTGCTGAAAATCAGTTGCTATTTTCTCCAGAGAGGTCAGTACTGTGCTTATAGAAGAAAGTAATAAAAAACAGCATGTCTGAGGGAAATTGCTTTTCTGGAGAATTGTCCCTTGTAGATTACTAAAGCATGCATTGCCACTAATACTGTGGGAATGCTGTCAAAACAGTTTTTCCACTGTGATGCATCTACAAATCACACTACCTAAGCCTTACAGCACAAAATGTTTGAATGGCCTTCTGAAACGAAAATATTCAGCTTTGAAGGTTTTAGGGATGGGAGGGATTTTTTAACTGTCGTAGGCCAACTCCGCAACTTCATAGTCGCTATCGATTCCAAAAGCAGCAATTCCATTTCCAATTCTTAATCTATCTGAGAGCTAGGAGGATAATGACTTGAATTTTCTTGGAAATCAGTGCAACAGGTAAAGAAGCTGAAGCATTTTTCAAGAGAAAAAAGTCAGATCTTATTTCTTGAGCGAGAAAAAACAAATAAGCCCTTCACACTCCAGCCTTAAGAAAGATTCTGTCTTTGTGGAAAATGTAAATTAAAAACTCTGTTCTTGGATCAAGCCTTTGAATTTACACCTCTTTACTGTGGTTAGAGAAGCCCTGCAAGCCAAAATAGCATCTGAGAATTACAGAGCCAAACAGTTAAAAAGATCATAACTAAGCTACAACTTTGATTCATGCTATAAAGTCTTAAAATTTGAAAGAGTCTCCCAAAGTATCAAATTATTTGAATTAAAGAGTAAGAGCTGTGAATTTGATCCATAATTTAGGTAGGTTCTATCCAGGGGCACTGCAGGCCTCCATCAGACACACTATGACATATAATGAAAAAGACGGAATACAGAAATTTCATCTAAATCTCATTTACTTCCTTTTATACAAAATCACTCTAATGACAGTACCAGGATATACATGAACAAGATGTAGAAACGTGTCACTGGAATTTTAAGAGTTTTCAGGAAGTTTTCTAAAACATATATACACTTCAGCAGATTTAATCAACTTCCCTTTGAAAAGAACTGACTTCCTGTTACTGATTACATATGTCCAGGGAAGATGAGCATCAGACCACTTTTCACTTCCATATGTTTTTCTAAGGGTATGGTAAAGAGGGAAAGACAGAGTGTTGGGCACAAAACCCTTGTACTTGTCTCCTTGCAGCACTGTGGTAATACATCCTGGCAAAGACACTCTATTCAGCAAATGTATCACTATGAACTTGTGCACTGATCTGGCTGGACAGCCTGCTGGCTTTACTATCAGACTCACCTGAATGTAGTTGTCAACAATTCCCCAAGCAAAGCCACAGGGAAAAATACCTTCTATAGGCTGGTTTTCAGGCAAAGGTGGGAAGCCATTTTTTTCTATCAGCTTTTGATAGAATAAGACAGAAGATTTGGGCATCAACTTTTTGTCATGGCTCTGAAAATCCACATAAAACAATCCACGTCGAATGCTGTATCCCCTGTGCCACTCAAAGCCATCCAGGAGGGACCAGACTGTGTAGCCAAACACATTAACTCCGTCGTACCGGATAGCTGAGGAAAGAACAAACCCAAATTTATCGTAGTGCTCGTTTTTATTCTGCACATTACACTTTATCCACAGTATTTGCTGTACTCTTGTGTAAGAACAATGCAATAGGTCAGATAAGTACCCTGGGGCCTGCCTCAAAGCTTTTTCAGGGAAGATATTTCAACTGCACTCCCTTAAGGAGCGGCCAGGTTAAGCGTGCACCATGCAAGGCAGCAGAGGTACCTGGCTTGGCTTTAAATAAGCGAGATTTAGAAAAAGCAGCTGTGCCGCAGTGGTTTGAGCAGTGCTGCTAATTAGGTGAGCCAAACCTCAGCCTCGGAGCAGAGCATGCCACACCTGAACCATCTGCAGCAACTGAGCTGGTGACTGCGCTGCACTGCCCTCTGCTAAGCACACACTGCAGCTCACACCCAGGGTGCCCTTAATGCAGCACTACCCTGCATGCAAACAGAAGTTATACCAGGGTTTTTTTCTCCTCCTCCCCTCCTCCACTACAAATACGTATTGAGAAAACCCTGACAGCACTCTTGGTGCGCTCATGAATTTTTAATATCACAGAATTTAAGTAGAAATGATAATGCAGGAAGACTCTGTTTATTTGATAATTCTGTCTTTTTACATCTTTTATGGAATAGCATTTTCCAGTTTAAATATTTAAGGATTTCTTAAAATATGCACATGTTCTAGGTCAACTGTTTGACTTCTAAGAATTACCACACACTGAAGGTTAATATCAGGGTCTACTGGAATCTGTTAGTATTAACAGCACCATAGTTTTATTTTAAGATTCCAAATGATGCTCACTTTTAGTTTTATTAAACACTGAGATTTAGCAAAATGTTCCTGGGCAAGGCTCAGCTCCAGGAAAGTACAAAAGAGTGTGCTTATTTTAATTACATAATTAGACCCACCCTAATTCAGCAATGCATTTAAGCACATTCTTAAATGTTCTTTTGAACTGGTGTTTGGCTCTGTAGGCAGTAAAGTTTATCTTTATTACTCACCATCTTCTGTCAACCCAAACCGGATACCGACTGAACATAATATTTTCCAGTCTACTAACAATGAAAGCGTTATTTCAGGGAACCAGAATATCAAGATCCTAATTTCTCGGTTTTATCAATGTACCTCATTACAATCAGTTATGAAGGACCACATGGATTCTTGATTGTAACCCTGTTTGAATCAATTAAATGAACAATGCAGTTAAATAAGCAACAAATTTGGCCCAGTCTTCGCCAAAGGTCATGAGAAAATGTCTAAGGAAATGGAATATTTCTCCTCCTAAAGGCATCATTCTTTTGTGTTTGGCAAATGTCAGTATTTTTCTAACCTCTGCATGCATCCATGATGACATCTGCCATACCAGCAGAGTAAAAGCCAATACAGGTTCACTGTGTTAACTGGTCTCAGTGAGAATTTCTTTGAACAGCATCTCACCCCTTCTGTAAGTCATCACACAGCACTCCCACACTTCCCGAACACCTCGTAAAAACCCTCTTCAAATCCTTCTTTAAAAATGTATTAACTTTTAAGTGTCACCTACTAAAGAAGTAACTGGAAAAATTTTTGGAAGTTCCTAGAAGTCTCGAAGTCTCAAACACAGCATCCCACGTGGGCTGCATATTACTGGAAAACCACTATGAAAATTTATACATCTTTTTTTCCCCTTTTTCTTCTTCTTTTGTTTGTCTCCCTTGTTTTCTTTATGTCTGTTGGTGTGTAAACCAGGCAGACTGAAACCTAAACTGTCCTTGCTTCTGAAAATTAGTGGCCTTGTCCATACTACCCACTGCAAGTGACTCCTGTCCTGAGCAATCCTGCACAGTATGCCTAAAGTGTGCACTGTATAGACCAGAACTCTGCCAGAGCCAGATTAAAAATTAAACAGCAGTTCAGCACATGCTCTGCTTAGCTTAGTAATATAGAAGTAGTCCAAGGAAACATGGCAGACCCATAAGGACCAAATACAGATCTTTAAAACCCTCTGCTCTGCTGCTATCCAACCTCAGTTTCTGAAGGTGACGTGTGTGAAGCCTTCAGCCTCTGATTTCATGTGGAAGGTGCCCAGGATCCATGTTTTGCCTCTGGACATACCTGAGAAGAGCTTGGTCCTGCCCCATCAGGGGCCTGGCTGCTCCTCTTCTCCTTCAAGCTCCTTGAATTCAGGCCTGTTAACTCCCCATACGAAGACCTAACCCCTCCACTAGTCAACGTGGCTCAGAGGAGCTTGCATGCCCTCCCAGTAAACATGCTCTGCCTTACAAGACACAGTTCATTTATTTGTTGCACCAGAGACAGAGTTGGGAAGTGAATATGACCCCAGAGTAAATGGTGAGATACCCACACATGTAAGAAGACATCTCCAACCAATTAGCAACTCTAATTAAAATTCAACTACTTTTATATTACAGCTCTGCTTACTCTAATCAACCTTAAATGGTGTCTGGATAGAAAAAAAAAGATATAAAAAATAGTAAAAGTATTTAGTGCTGTGAATCTCAAACAGAGATCCTTTCCCAGAAAAAAAAAAAAAAAAGAAAAAAAAAGTACCAAAAAAACCCCAAAACCAAAACCAAAACAAACAAACAAACAAACAAACAAACACCCACACCAAAAACATGTACAGAGCTTGTCTACAGCATGCAGCATCAGAATAGACATTTACATCGGCACTTCAGCTGAAATCAGGAGCACACTTTTTGAGCAAATCTCTCATCATGTTTTGGTTCAGATTACAGAGTGGTCTCAGGATGCAAGACCTGGGTTCCTTTTGGGTGAAATTAATCCAGAAATGGGCTTCAGGAGTATACGCAGTTGGACACCTGGCCCTCAGCACCAACTCTTTTTAGTGTACAGGCTTGCTCCAACTAGGCTGCATTTACTTTTTAATGTAGACACAGAAATAAGAAGTTTATCTGAATGAGTGCATGCACACAACAGGGAAAAGGTACAGTCCAGATCTAGCAAGCAGCAAACCCACCTTTATTCAGCCCTGTGTCTAAATTAATTATCCTTGCTTCTCAGTGCAGTATCTCCAAAGTCATTTCACTGTCCCTTGACTGCTGAGATTTACCATGAATCTCATGGTAAATAGTTCAAGAATCTACATATTGCAGTCTTTCAGAGAGAAAACATGTGCCTTTGTCTTTATTCTTTAATACTCTACAACATGGATGATGTGTTTTGTGAATCATTCTCAGCCAAATTCCCCCAGGTATTGCATAGAGAACTTTGGTATTTACATTGCATTTTGCAGATTCTAACAGCAGAATATTTGGGTGCAATAATTTTCATTTTAATGACAACAAAGTCCCTTCTGTAGATCCAGACTGCTTTCTTTTTTCTTCTTTTTTCTCTACAAAAGGTTTAGTCAAGTGCTAGTATTCTTAAGTTAATATGACAAGTATGTCATACTGTTGTTGCTGTTATTATTTATTGAGTGACACATTAAAAGGAAAGACACTTTGTAAATTGAGATTACTTCCAGCCAGCTGTGCTTAAAAGGCAGATCCATGTATGTATTTCCAGCAATTTGAAAACTAAGCAGAAATAGGGGCAACTGGAATATGACTCCTTCATGAAGATGAGCTCTTCATCTAACTTCATGCACACTAGTGATACTGTACTTGGCAACAGTTAGTTACTGTTTTGCTTCCATTCTTCTATTTTGGATGCACTGACTCAGGTACTTTTTCACCTTTTAATTTATTTGCAATAATTAGGTTTCTGGGATAGCAGATGAAACCAACTGGGGAGTACTCTGCATCTTCATGAGTGCTGAGAATAAAACAAAAGCTATTTTTACTCACCCACTGTATGAAAATTATAATGTAACACAATGGCTATCTCATCTGAAGTAATAGCTACAACAGTACTCTTTTTAAAACAAGAATAGCAAACTGTAGATGAGGAAATCAGTTATTAAATTGTAAATTTAAAAAGGAAAATACAATGAAAGTGGAAATGGGCACCCCAACAGCTTATTGATGACTACTAGGATTGAAAAAATCTGTTTTCCACAAGGAAATTGGAAGTTAGAAAATAACCCTCATATAAGGTAGTGTATTACTCTTACTGTTTGGAAAAATAAAAGGTTAACACATGAAGTTATTTAGATTATATAACCTCAACCATTCTGCTTTCTTTAAACTGACATAAATTCAGATTACTGTGATTAATGTCCACAACTGCACTAATGTAAAATTTGTGTCAGGGCAAGGTGCAGAATGAAAAGGTTCCAATTTTTCATTTTAAAATTAATAGTTTCCATCTTCGTGTTATTGTTGGGTTTTTTCCCAGAGGAATTCCTATTGCATAGTATTTACCTCCTCACATATATATTCTCATGTTTTGTACATATGCATTCAGATAAGGAAAACAACTATTAATAAATAACACAGTAAACTCTCCTAAGTCTACTGAGAATACAGTTCAGACATTTTGCACTTTCTCCCACCAAAGAGGGTAGAAATTTTCCTGCTGACTTCAAAGACAGCAGCATCAAGCTCACCAAATGCTATCTTCAAGAAAAGAACAAACCCAGGAAAGGGATTTGAAGTCTCATTTCAAAAGTACCAAGATGAATGTTGAAGACTAAAATCAGTTTCCAGACTGGTGCTTTAACACATCTCCGTAGGCTATACTGCCTCATGATTTTTTCAAGCACACATTAATGCAAACTCAGGCCTACCTTTTAAAGTTTCCATAATGAACTTTTTAAGATAGTAAATATATTTGGCATCATCTCTCTTGGTAGTACCAGAAACAAACCAGCTGTTCTCCACAATGAATATTTGGGGGTTGTTATATTCACTGTTTATCCAGTAAAGGAGTTGCCTCAGGCTGATTGATTCCAACTGCTGGAATTTCATGTGGGAGTCCAAAAGCTGGAAACTCAGGGTAGCTCCAAAAGAAAGAGCAAAAAAGTCTGCTGTTCCCTTGATATACTTCTTCTCAACTTCACTGAATTCAGGCAACAGAGATGAAAGGTTGCTCTTCATACTCTCTGGATAGTCACCATCAATAAATATGGGCTTAGCAAACCAGCCAAGCACAAAATCAAGGGATTTTTGACATTCTTTTATGTTTTTTTCAGTCATACGTTGAGGTTTTATCCAGTGAGAGCTAAGGGCAATGGACAATTTTCCTCTTTGAGTTGGACGAAAATGGTCATTGTAGAGATGCCAGACTTTAGCATGGGCCTGTTGAAAAGAAAGACTGTAATTAAAGGACCCAAAAATCCATTTTAAGTAACACAATTAGTCTCAAGTACAGATGCCCAGTGTAATCAAATAAACACATCACTTAAGGGTTTAGTGTTATTCTTTCACCAGTAATTTACAACACCTAAATTAACTTTTCCTAAATACCATATATCAACTAGAAATTGCTAGTTGGTTGAGGAAAGGTGCATCTCAGTTTTCCAAGAGATACTATTCCAGGTAGTGAACACACTTTTAGCAAGGCACCTTGATTAACTTTTATTATTGAGTTCAGACATAATTCCAATATTTCCAAAAATGAAAACACATTTAAACAAACATGTTTCAAAGCATGTTTTCATTATAGGAATTTTACTTTATCTGTAGATTCACAGATATATACAGAAGGAAAGTCTGTTCTAAAGAATAGATCTCTGAAACAATACAAATCAAAGAAACACCTTTGAACTTATTCCTCTTTGAGTCAGAACACACAATACAGGAATATATAACTACCAATCTAGATTTTTAAAAGTCTGGTGAAAAGCAAATTGCCACAGGTCCTGAAAAATTATTCCAAAAATTCAACTTATTGTATTAAAATTTGCTATTTACCCCTAGCATCAGATTTTAAGCACTTGTCTTGGTATAATTTTATCTTTTACTGTGAGGACATATTTTCTACCAAATTTCTTTCCTGTGATCTTACATAGTCAATTGAAACAGTCTCTTGATGTTCCCTTTGAAAGCTAAATAGATTAAGTTCCTGAAGCCTTGCATTACCTTCAGGCATTACCTTCAAGCTCTAAAACCACTCTCACTGCTCTTCTCTGATTCTCTTCCAATTTGTCATCATCTGTTTTAAACTGCAGCAGCAGAATTGGACATAAAATGCCAGTCGTAGTCTTGCCAGCAGTAAAACCAGAGACAATTTAATACACTATTTCTGCTTTATGGCTGTAGAATTACTCTGTGAGCATATGCTCATCCTTACTACCATATCTCCAGAGCCCTTCCTCACCTAAAACTTATCTTTTCTTTGAACCTATCTTATCAAAGAATTTTGACTGGTCTGTGAATCAATATCCCATCTTTCGTCATTTACTCATTTGTAGAAATTCTCATGTTTTTTTCTAGTTCATTAATAAAAAGGTAAAAATATGAGATTTGACAACATGAAACTGGGAGGTGTGGCCAATACCTCAGATTTCTGTGCAGCCCTCCAGAAGGACCTCAGAGATGGTAGAGAGGAACTCCCTGAAGTTCAACAAAGGCAAATGCAGGGTCCTGCACCCTGGGAAGGACAACTCCCTGTACCAGTGCAGGCTGGGAACTGACCTGCTGGAAAGCAGCTCTGCAGAGAAGGACCTGGAGGTCCTGGTGGACAACAAGCTGTCCATGAGCCAGCAGTATTTTCCTGTGGCCAAGAAAGCCAACAGGTGCATTAGGAAGAGCATTTCCAGCATGTCAAGGGAAGGGATCCTGCCCCTCTACTCAGCCCTAGTGAGGTCACATCTGAAGTGCTGTGTCCACTTCTGGACCCCTCAGTACAAGATAGACATGCAGCTCCTAGAGCAAGTTCAGTAGAAGGCAACAAATGATTAGGGGCTGGAGCACCTCTATTATAAGGAAAGGCTGAGGGAGCTGGGCCTGTTCAGCCTCAAGACTGAGAGACACATCATCAATGTCTATAAGCATCTGGAGGCAGGGTGTCAAGAGGATGGGGCCAGGCTCTCCTCAGTGGTGCCACGCAATAGGACAAGAGGCAACAGGTAGAAACTGATGCACAGGAAGTTCCATCTCAACATGAGGAAGAACTTCTTTACTGTGCAGGTGACAGAACACTGGAACAGAGCCCAGAGAGGTTGTGAAGCCTCCCTCCCAGGAGATATTCAAGAACTATCTGGACGCAATCCTGTGCCATGTGCTCTAGGACGACCCTCCTTGAGCAGGGAGGTTGGACCAGATAAACCACTGTAATCACTTCCATCCTTACCCATTCTGTGATCCCGTGAGTCTGAGATGTGCTCATTAGAATAAAGCATACCTATTTCCAATTTACATTTGCATTTTGAGATTCATCAGTTAGTATTTGTTCATATGTGCTGTGATGACATGAATCTCCATTCTTACCATACAGTCATAGATCCAATAAATATATATGACAGATTATTAATCAAAATTTCACATGCGCTTTTAGCCCCCCTGAAATATAAACTATATACAAAGCCTTATAATTTTACTCCATGCAGTTTGCATGTTTGAAAATTTTATCATTAGTTTATTGATAGTTGCTGTTCACAGTTTGTTTTTCATATACTCTTACCATTTATGCTTTGTACTATAATCCCCTCCAGTTGCCAACATTACTAGGAATATAATTTTTGACATAGGGATTGTTAATTACCCAGGAAAATAGCAAATTCTATTATTTTACTGTTCTTTCAGAATTTTAATTATCACAGCTGGGAGAAAAACAATTGGAAGTAAAGGACAATTAAAGGTAAGATCGATAATCAAGCCTCAGTTCAGTAACTCCCAAACTGAAAGCTGCTATGTTGGAGCACATAAAACATCTGTGCAGATCTGACACTAGCTCTAAAGGAGACTAGACCCATGCCCTTTTAGACTGGTCACCAAAACCCAAAGAGAACAATCTTGGAAACTGTGAATCACAGCACACACCTATGTGCATGTATTCAATCTCTCAGTCACTCTTATTTATAATAATACATCAATAGCTCCAATAAACATGATGCAGCACAACCATCTGTCTGTACTAATACAATGGATTTTGATGCTAGCAAGAAACTATAGTAACTACTTCAAAGTCTCATTGCAAAAATGGGAGCTGACCAAAATACAGACTTCATTTTACTCCACAGAAAAGCTCCATTGCACTGATGAAAGAACAAAAGACATTACACATCATGACCAACACCCAACACTTTAAATACGAATTTTAAAATGCTATTAGGAACAAATTTATCACCACTTGCAACTCAAATTTTCACTCCCAAATTTTCCCTCATAAAGGGGCCATATATTCTTCTGTTGGACGTGACTCATGTCTCAATTTCCTGTCTCAAATGCTAAGATACCAGCATGCACATTCTCAAATACACGATTTCATTTCTGTCATCTGCACTATTGCCCACCCATAAAACACCTCAAGGACTGTGGAGGACTTGCCCCATAACTCTTGGTCCTCCATGTTTCAGAGATCTTCCAGAATTTTAGTAGCTTGGGATCTACCATGAAGAAAGGAGGAAGGAAATTCTGCCAGTTATCCCTCTACATGCATAAGGAGGGGCTATTTACTCCCTCGTTGCAATGAAAAAGGATGAAGTGTGGCAATGCGAGATCATCTCACTCAACTCTACTTTCTAAGCAAGTCACCTAGTCTGCCTCTACAGAAAATGAGACGACTTTTGTTTAAGATATGCAAGTGAATGACTCTTTGGGAGTCCCTCTCTCTCTACTGATAACAGACAAAACCTGTTACTCAGTTTAAACGAGACATGTTCTATATGTAGATGAAAGCAGACAAGAAGAAGCCCACTTAAATGTCTGCTTTCTGGAGTGTGCATGAAGTGGAATTGTGTTATTTCCATTAAAAAATGCTAAACCTAGAAAACAGTGCATCAAAGACCCCAGGCTCTGTGGATGTAGAGTAAAGAAGCAGTCAAAACTGCATAGAAATAAAGCTAGAAGAGCCAGGGACAAAGTAGAGAGTCTCTATGGAAATCTGGAACAGAATTCACTTGCCTAAAACTAGGTGTCTAATGCAGTTTGAGAGACTTCAGAGCATTCCAGCCTGAATTCCAGCCAGTTTAAGAAAGCTGCAAGTCTCCCAATAAATCCCAAATCACATCTCTTAGCTCCAAAGAGACACCTGGAATGCTAAAGAACATGACAAATGATAATTTTCACCTACATTCATCTTCAGGCAAATGAATCCTATTCCTAGGGTGGGACTCCGTTTTAGTCAAAAACACCTTATATTTCACTGTCCACATGTGAGCGACGTGCCCAAGCTCCCACTATAGGTAATGGAGATCTCTGGCTCCACCAGCTGCCTTAACACAGGCAACTAGTTGTCACTCCAGAATGATACATGCCCAGGTCACATCTGCCATTTCCATGCAGATGGCAAGTCTCACATGGCACTACTTATACTGAGCTAAGGGATTCCCAAGTGCAGTCTACCAGCAGTCACAGTGTCGCACCCAGCAGGACCACTACCTAGGTCCCAGTAACTGTATGGATTAGTGGCAGGATTTCATGTACCTGAATGTGACTGGCAGACATGACTCAGGACCCAATGTAAGACCTTGGTCTTCTGAAGCAGCAACTGGAGGCTGGGGTAGCTCAAGTGACACTGTACCTCGGCTGGGAAAACTGAAACCTTCTAGATATCTATTACCTATAACTGAAGCTATGTGCAGAGAAAATAAGTAGGAAACAACACACCATCAGTTCCTTTATATTTATCTGAAATCTTACTTCCAGATCGCAGTGACTTACTTTTAATTCACAACCAACTAGGCTTAAGATCATGGCAACCACACTTCAGTATTTCTACTGACATACGGCATGGTGACTCCAGTCCCTGTTTTTACAAAATGCTGAGGGGTACTTTGCTCCTTTTTAGCTCAGACAGGTGTGCAGTGCTCATAAATCCCCTCATCTGGCTGAAAAACCTTACTAAAAAAGGTTGGTGACAAACTGTCTCTAGGAAGGTTTGTGCAGTCACCCGTGTGTTATGAGCAGAACTGCTAAAACTTGTGTGCTGGTCTCCAGGCTGTTGCATTTGGGTAATCTTATTATTATTACTTGGATTCAGAGAGCAGCACATACTGTTAGATACCAAACACTTGACTGACACCTTTTTGGGGGGTAATACCTACATTCTTGAGCTTGTTGAGGCTTGAGCTAAGCTGGCATTGGGAAACTGTGGATTAGGATGAGTGCTCTCTGTGCTTACTAGAACAGGAACA